GATGAGGAATCTGGAGACAAATCAAGTTCTGATGATTCTGATTACTTCTCGGCATCTGATGATTTGGCGGATTTTCCTAATAACAACCAGTATCTAGGACTTCCTTTTGACGATTCAGAAGATGATGATTTTGATCCTGCTGCTCCAGTGCAAGATGAGGACAGTTCAAGTTCTGATTTCACGTCTGACTCAGAGGATCTCGGTGCTCTACTTGATGAAGCCACTGCACCTGGAATTTCTCCAGTGCTAGGTGTTGATGAAGAAAAATCTAAAGCAGGTAAAGTGAAGAGTCAATCACTAAGAGGCGAGCTGTCGTACCTTTTGGAGATCAATGATGCACCTGTGTCTGGGAAAAGACATGTAGAACGGTTGGACTATAAAAAATTGAATGATGTGAGTTTCTTTTACACTGCACACTACATATTTTTTTTTTCAATTTATCCTTTTTATATTTTTGTTCACAATTTCCCGCACTTATTTTTGCTTTGTCTGTTGCTGCACATTTTCTTTCTTGACGCTGTTTCTCTAGTATAACAGTTTGTTACTTCTCTCTCTCTCTCCTCCCTTGGTTGGCTTATGTTGTGATGTATCTTTTAAAGGAAACATATGGAAATTCTTTTTCTGAATCGAGTGATGAAGATTTTGAAGATATTCCTTCTCAAAAGAGAAGAAAGATTAACCGTGAAAAAGCAACCTTGATGTCCCCTGACAAAACTCCATTAGCGGAAAATGAAATGGATGCTGAGGATGAAAACCCGAAAGAGAGTGAGTATGGGCCTAAAAGAACTAGCGAAAAAGTAATTGATGGGGGAACTAACATTACACCAGCTGAAGCAGGTTCCGGGGATGCAAATGTTAAAAGATCAGCACCTAAAAGGCTTGGAGAAGCTGTTACACAGGTACTAGTTGTATATACATTTCCCCAAAAATTTTAGAATCCTAATTTGAATTATCTTGTACTACTATTTCATCTAGGTGGTTCACCAAATATGACCACTCAACCTTTTAGGCAAGGAATTATGTTCCAACTAATGCGTGCGTGTGCCTGTATTACATGTATTATTTGAAATCGTATATAGAATGTGACCACTGCACTCTTGTAACAATTTGGAATGCGTTTTGGGTTAGCTGTTTGTTCCTCTGTAGGACATTATCATACAATTTCGGACATTCCTTCTGTTGAATATCTGATGATGGTTTCTGTGTTGGTGTAGAAACTCCTCGAATCTTTCAGAAAAAATCAATACCCTGAACGAGCTGTAAAGGAGAATTTGGCGAAGGAACTAAAGCTCACAATCCAGCAGGTGCATACATTTATTTTGCCGTACTGTTCCTCTTTTGCCATTTGAAATATCTTTATTTCATTGGTCTATTTGTCATACAGGTTAGCAAATGGTTTTTAAATACCCGTTGGGGCTTTAACCATAGACCGCAAATGAAATTGAAGAAAACTGAAACTGATTCGAAAGAAGGTACTTCCTTGAATCAAGATAACGATAAACGACCTGAACTGGAACTAGAAAGTGTCACCGAGGATGACTCTTCGGTTGGGGTTGTAAACTTGGCTACCACCAGTGGACAAAAGTCTGAAAAGCCAAAATCGAGAAAGATGGAAGGTACGACAGATCAATCACTTGATACTCAAATACAGGAGTAGAATATGCTAGTCGATACAGATATTAGTAAAAGTAGTAGTCTGAAGACAACAAACAGTGAATCTGTTGATTGATGATGTAAAATTTGATGCATTTGGGATTAAGCTTAATGATAATCAACTACAGAACTAATTGAGAATAAACCGGGGTACTGGACCATAGCAAGCAATTGCTGAATGTGGATTTGGGGCGGTCTATTTACATTTGGTCGTAATTTATTTATTTCTTTTTTGGGAACCTCTCTAAAAAATGTTTAATCACATTTTTTTAAATAAATTTGCATGTAGATCCATAACCATATTCTCCAAAAATAAGGTCCTGTTTGATTTGCATTTCAGTTGCTAGTTTTGAATTCATTTTCAGTTTTTTATTTTGAGAGTTCGTTTTAAGATAGCAGAATAGACATTTCATTTATCACTTTGAAAAATTGTTTCTTAAGCCCCTGTTTGACAACTATTATTGGGAAAATATAAAGTTTTAAATAGTGATTTTTAGGAGACTGTATGATTAAAAAGTTAAGAAAATTTTTGAATTTACTTGTAGAATATTTTTACCCTGTTTGATTCTCATTGATTGGGGAAAAAAATAAGTTTTGAATAGTATTTTTAGAAGAATGTGTGGTTGAAAGATATGAAACAGTTTTTGGTATACACGTAAAATATTTTATTATGTGAATGTGTGGTTGAAAATGATCTTATAGCAAACCATAAAATAAATTAATGGGTGTCAGATGGATATTTTATTGTGTGAAAGTGATTGAAATTGAGTACATATAAATTGTTTTTTTACATTTTAATCAATTATTTGATTATTTGCTGAACTAGAAGAACCGTGCTAATATATTATTACATTATATATAATGTCAATAAATCTTAGAACATTTTTTCCCTCTATAAAAAATAAAATATAAACAAATAATAAATTCATTTTGCAAAAAAAAAAAATAATAACAATAAAATAAAAATTAATGACATGAAATGAAATGAGGAATACAGAATGTGATTTTAAGTTATAAGATTGCAACAAATAGTTTAATAGGGAGTGAACCAAAGTCACATGCTTAATTCATGAGTGAAATCGCAAACGATATTCTCTTTAGTAGCATTTTCTACGAGCCATTCATTTCTCTCTCTTTTGAATCAACAAATTTCTTATTTCGTAAAAAGTAATGTTATTCATCCCCATTAGGGTTGAGCTCCAATCTATGTGACAATTATATGATATTAAATGATAGATTCATTTAAATACAAAGTCACATGACTCATTTAATTGAGTCTATCATTTAATGACATATAGTTGTCACATGGACTGATGGACTGTGGCTCAATTCTAGTGGAGATGAATAGTATTATTCCTTCGTAAATGATGGAAGAATATTCAATATTGGAAGGATGGAAATTAAATTTACATTTTTCAGGAGATAATGTGTTAATTTGGTGTGATTGGTTTATTTCTCGTAAAGTCAAAAAAGATATTTTCGAAAATATCAAATCAAATAAGTTTGAGCCCTTGTTTGGCTCCTATTATAATGAGATTTTTGGAAATAATGTATTATAAAATAGTAATTTTTGGGTGAATGTTTGATTAAGTCCCTATTTGAGTCAAATTATTTTTTTTATTTTTAATCTTCTACTCATTTTTAACCACATTTTCAATAAAATAATATTTTCAATCACATCAATAACTTTTCCTTCTTTTTCAACCACATATTCACCATCACATCAATAAAAAAAATGAAATTTTGGCCCCAAAATGTGCACCATACGGCTAAAAAAGGAATTTTTTTTTTTGATTTATGTGTAATATTTTTTTAATTAAAGAATGTGTAGTTGAAAAAAAGAGAAAAAATGTGTTCAAATTTTAAAGAGGGGCAAACAAGGACTTAGATTTTTTACCGGAATTGAAACTGAAAACAGTAAACCACGCATCTCCTTACTTTGTACAAAATCCCTGTTTGATGGAAATTAAAATATAAATTTGTATTGAAGCTAACAATTAATTTTAACTATACATTTTATAAGATTCACAACTTTTCAATTATACATTTCACTAATTTTTATTAAAATCAGCTAAAAATGTAATTTTAATTTCCATCAAATAGGGACAAAAATATTTTTTCAGAAAAAAATGCTATACAGCATTACCTGTGCTTAAAACATCGCTCCATGTGGCAGTAGCACACGATATGTCCAATTAAGGCTCGTTTGGTATGGTATGGTTTCGCTTATATCTCTAGTAAAAGATTTCTTGGTGTAAACTACTTTAATTTTTGTTTGAAAATTATTTTTTAAAATCTCTTCTAACCGTTGGAAACATTTTCATAAAATTTGTCTAAAGAAGTAAAAAACAACTTTTGAATCTCAAAGCTTGTTTGGGAGAAATTGTTGGGGGAATAATTATTTTGAATAGTGATATGATGGGAAATGTGTGGTTGAAAAAGAGAAAAAATTATTGATGTGATGGAATATATTATTTTATTAAAGAATGTGTGGTTGAAAATGAGAATTGATTTACTGTAGAAAAATCTAATCCCTCCCAAACAAGGCCTCAAAATATTCTTTTTCGAATTGTGTGAAAAGTAGATTTTCATTCGGATCATGCTACTTGTACATTTTTTTACACTAAGTTTGACATTGTACCACATGTCGCATCATGATTGGCTAGTTTTTAAACATTACACACTTTTCCGCCAACAACACTTTGAATTTCCAAAACATGTCAAACTTCATGTCAACAAAAGAATGTACAAATGGCTTAGGGCTTATTTGGGAAGGATTAAAATCCAATTAAAATTAAAAATATAACTGTTATTGGATCTCACTCATCTAATAAAAGTCAGCTCCAACAACTATATTTTCAATTTTAATCTGATTTTAATCCCTTCCAAACAAGCTCTTATCCCTTTTCATTTTTCTCTGGCAATGTCGCGCGGTAAATTAAGCCCCCGTTTGGCACCCATTAATTTCTCTTTCTCATTTTCATTTTCATTCTCATTCTTCATTTCAACCACACATTCTCCAAATAAAATAATATTACACACAAGTCAAAAAAATTTCATCACTTTTCCACCACACATTCTCACATCAATCACTATTCTAAAATTTCTATTCTCCTCAAAATTAGATTCAAACACACCCTAAGCTTTTGAAATTGTAAAAATAGCGGCATAATGACTCCCTCCGCCCGCCTCTCTCCCCTGACCAAAGACGATCAAATTATAGATGTGTGTTCGTTCCATTTCTCATCCATTTGCTCTCTCTCACGCCCACGCTCAATTACAATAAAGCAACATCTTCACCTGCTAAAACCCTTTACCATTTCCAAAAACCCTAAAACGGGGCTTCAATGGCCGACCAAGAAAACCGTGTACCCACGCCCGCCAGAACAAGGGCATCCAAGAAAAGACTCAATGAATCTGTGGAAGGGCTTTCCGTATCAAAGAAGCGAGTCGTGCTGGGTGAGCTCACCAACATTTCGTCCGACGCTGCCGGGTTGGCTCTAAAATCTGCTCCGAGCAAATCCCCGAAACCCGTATTCGTGTCTGAACGCGAACAGAAGTTCGGGGTGTTGGTTGCTAAAAAGGCGAGTACTGAAATTGATGTGAATGTTGATGTCCAAGTTAGCCCAGAAACTGATGAATCGGAAAAATATGGACACGCTCCTCTTATGTATCGGCATCTTCATTCCCTGGAGGTATTTTTCTTATTATTTTCTTCTTATTCTTATGCATTATCACAAATTTGGTGCTCTCCATTCTTGTGATTTTCCTGTTGATGTACACTCGACCTTTTGATTTTGAAGCTGTGTGCATTCAGTTTTGGAGTTAAACTGTTGCTTATTTATCCGTTTTAGGAGAAGATGATTGTTTTCTGTTCCTTGTTTTCATACACTAGTTTCTGATGTCAAGGGTTTGTGAATGCCCGTGTGTGTTTCTTGTTGGCTATAATTCCATTTATGGATTTTATCATAAATTTTCTGCTAATCTGGGATTTTCGTGTTTTTTTTCCAGTCATTACTTCCTGGAAGTAGTGGTTATTCGATCCCTTCTATCACTAGCTTTGACTGTACTCAATGATTCTGATATAGGTTTTTAGTAAAACTATGTTGTCCCATTTTTTTCTCGTTTTCTGTGCCTTCCTACTAGAGCTCGATTTAATTCTTGTCAACATGTTGTGCATTCCCTTGGTTCATTAAAAAAAGTGAAGCTGGTAAACAAGTACTGTAATTTGTACGTGGTCCAGTTTGAGGTTGCAAATAATTTAACATAAGACAGTTGTCTGATAAAGGTTTGTAATATTAGGTAGAGGCAAAGAGGAGACCTTTATCTAATTACATGGAGACAATTCAGACGGATATAACACCAGCTATGCGAGAGATTCTGGTCGATTGGTTGGTTGAGGTCGCGGAGGAATTCAAACTTGTTTCGGAGACCTCTTATCTTACTGTAAACTATGTTGACAAGTATCTGTCTTCCCACAACTTGATCAGGAATAAGCTTCAGCTTCTTGGTGTATCTTGCATGCTTCTTGCAGCGTATGCTTACTACAATCTCATTATATCTTTTGTGCAAGACTCGACAATATAAAATACATTATCTTAGCTTAAATTGTTATACAATCTGATCCTTCCTATCAAACAGACCAATTTGTATATTTTCTGCAAATTTTTTTTCTCACAGCCACTAAAAAGTGCAGAAAATATGAAGAAATCAGTCCACCTCATGTTGAAGAATTTTGCTACATGACAGACAACTTGTACTCAAAAGAAGACGTGAGTTGTGTTTCTTCATGGCTGTTTGACTTGGGTTGAAAGCATATTGCATTCGCTGTAAATCTTTCTTTTGGTGAACTACAGGTTGTACGCATGGAAAGAGATGTGCTGAAGCTTTTAAACTATGAAATGGGTGATCCCACAACAAAAACATTTCTCAGGTTTAAATCTCTTTGTAATATATTTGTTCTGTTGTTTTATTACACATTTTTCTCCATGTCATAGTCACGGTGCAATGGGTTACAAATATATCTTCTCGTTGCTGATAACATGCTTTTATATTGATTTTGTAGAATTTTTATCAAGGCTGCTCAAGAAAAACCTCTGGTGGGCTGAAAATCTGACACTTTTTGAACACTGTTATGCTTATACTTTTCTTGATTCTCATTTTATTTCTACTCATCAATAACCACGTTAAATTGTCTTATCCAGTACTCAAAAATGCAGTTTGACTTCCTGTGTTGTTATATCGCTGAACTAAGTTTACTGGATTATCATTGCGTCCGGTTCATTCCATCCACCATTGCTGCTTCAGTCATCTTTCTTTCAAGATTGATAATTAGGCCAAACTTTCACCCATGGGTATGACAAACCCTCATGAGTAAAATTATTCCTCTCTAAAATGATATGTTGAATTCAAAGTTCTGACGCATAGCAGTATTTATGCCAAGCTTTCTGTTTCACCTATTTTCAGTTTGTATTTTGAATTGAACTCTTTATGCAGAACTTGGCCCTGCAAAAATATACAGGTTTAAAACCATCTGAATTGAAAGAGTGTGTCCTCACACTTCACAGTCTGCAACTAAGAATGGGAGCAAGCGCACGTGCTGTAAGAGAGAAATACATGGACCACAAGGTATCTCTCATTTTTCATTTAGCATTAATATGTCACAGTACAGTGAAGCAGTCTTGAAAATCTGCTTTAACTGGAATTTGTATTCCCTTGTAACAATCTAATATAGTCTATTGTACTTGGGACAGTTCCAATGTGTTGCATCATTGTGTCCACCCTCAGAAATTCCTGCTCGTTATTTTGAGGCATGGTACGAAGAAATTTGATGATGTGCAAAGGAAGCCGACTATTGAAAAGTTCTTGAAGAATGTCACCCTAACAAATTCCACTGCGAATTATTCACAATTAACTCAGAACTCATTTCACTTAGGTGCTGGTTCATTAATGCTAAAGTTTGTTGGATTTTCTTGCAATGCAGGAAAATTTTCAGTTCCACTTGGTTTGAATCTTTTGTAAAGCCTGGTAACATAAGCACCCTTTTTGTTTCTTCATAGGGAATAACAATTATTCATCAATAGTTTGGCTAGTATTCTGCAAACTCTAATATAGGATATGGTAATTATGCCGTGGAAACACTTGTACATCTTTATGGTGAATAAAGCATTATGATTTCAGTACCAGTTATTTTTACTTCTGTTCTTCTGGATTCATGCATATGTTCCTTCTAAGTAAATGCAACACTTGGTTTTTCTTCTTTTTAATTTTTTTTTTCTTTAACCGATCAAAGCTTTTTTAAAGTATTTAACAAAATTGACCTGTCAATCAAAAATAAGTAAAATCATTAGGGACTCAACTGTTATAAAATTGAAAGGTTGAAGATGTAAACGCTCATTTTTTGAAGTTGAGGATCAAGGTACAATATATTTTTCTCTCTCTTAATTTTAATTACACATTCTTCAATAAAATAATATTATACATAAATTCAAAATATTATTTTATAACAATATATTATTTCAAAATGCATTTTTATCTAAAAATGGGACTCAAACAGATTTTTTACAATTGAAGATATTCCTAAACAGGTGAATGTAGTTAGTATGATGAATCATTTAGTAACCTGCCTTGTTACTTGAAATAGTTCAATCTAGCTCCCATGTATGAGTAGAATGGAGACGCAAAGAATAGAACTGAAAGATGTATTCATGTTAACATTGTTTTGTAAAACGGCTTTTCTTTTTTCATTTCTATAATAAGCATAAACATGATCGAAAAAAGTATTCTGGTGTTATTCACGTGCTTAGAATCATATAAAAAGCAAGTAAATTTATGCCTTAGGCACTACATCATAAACCAAGAACAGTAAATCTCTTTCAGACGAGAGGAAATTCTGGCACTAGTCCTGCTTTATGATAGCGCACATCTCTTGGATTGCTGTACCTAGTTATGCTCATACCCTTTAAATAGTGACTTATAATGAATAATTCCAATCAGGATAATATGAATAGGATAATTACAGTTTGAGATTCAGGTCAAGCTTGTTTGGACTCGGTGACTTCTGCTCTGGTTGGTTTGAATCCAAATGAAAACTTCCAGGCCACAGCAAATCTACTGCTTCCTCCAGGTGGTTGGGCAGATGTTGTATTCCAAATTCAGTACTAGCCTCACCTAATCTTCCTCCAAGCGGTTGAGCCATGCCTGGCTTGTGCACAAGTGAGTGAGGTCGAACGCCAAGTGATCTGATCATGGAAGTATGAATAGGTAGGGCCATCATTGCCATCCTGTGCCACTGGTAATTTCTTACTGCACCTCTTTCTCTTTTGTGAGCATTTTGATGACCCCCCAATGCTTGTGAGCTGTAGAACTTCCTCAAGCAGAAGTTACATGAGAAAACCTTCGTAGAAGCAGGTCTTGATTGTGACTCCGAGTCTTTTAACGTTTGAGATGGTTCCCTTCCCAGGCTCAAATTCAACCATTCTCCTCGATCGCTATTTTTTTCAGTTTCCATCTTTTGCCTGATAAGCTTTCTTTTCTTGATTCTTAGAGGTAGAAGTACAGAGAATAGATGAAGAGACTATATTGAATCCTTCTTTCTTGACTCTTAAAATTGTTCCACATGAAAGGGATAGAATAAATTGAGATTGACACGAGGAAGTGATATTGGACATCTTGAACTTATCACATGTTAGTTCACTGTCCCCACCAAGTAATGCTTAGTTGTTTCAAAAGAAAAGCTTATGTCATCTTTCATTTTTACCTTTGTCAAGCTTTAGATTCCCCACTTCTCATTGTCCTCTTTATATCTCTTTGAAACAACATCAACTTTAAAGGCTTTTTATTGGATTAGTTAAAAGTAAACAATGTCGATAATCCCACGACAAATCCCATTTTCTCTCTTACAACTTGCTTGGATTGCCTGCCATGTCACAGCTTTTTTAGGTTATGTTTGATATTCTGTTTTATGACAAAATTTTGGTCAGTTATCTTTGTTCTTCTATTTCCTTCACGTATTCATGAATGAATATATGTTCTTATTCTTGATCTAACATTTCTACTTTTATGGTTTATCTTCTCTATTTTTGCTCTATATGAGGTAGGTATGAATATAAAGAGGATGGACTCCACCAAGAAAGAGTTTTTCCCTAATCTACACTAAAATAACAATGTGAGTGATTGATAAGCTTTGATGCAGAATATAGATGTTACCGGGAATGGTGGCAGAATCATATCATATTAGTTGTGTAATATTATTCTTAAGTGGTGGGATCTACAGACTTGGCAATAATGGTGATAAAAAGTAGGAATAGAAGAAGATTTGGGGGGTATAGTGACCAGTTTTCCTTAGTTTTTTTGGGAACATCAGTATCTACATGGGCGTCTTCATGTTGGGGCTTCTTTTGTAGTCTTTCGGCATGTAGTGGGCATTTTCTGGGTACAGTGGAAGTGCATTAAAGGTTCTGTACTTGATCCGAGTCTACTCATATTATAAGCAAAGATAAGAAGAGTAGTCAAGTTGCCAACAATCATCTTTATCACCCCAACAAAAGAGATCCACTTTATTCCTAGGTGATTTCACACAAGGCGGTTTGTTTGGTAGGCGGAACTAGATGCATGGATAGAATTTAGAAAAAAATAAAGAAATTTGTCGTTGATCTTTACTTTTTAGAATTTATTATGGTTGTTGATCTCCAACATAACTTTTAGTAGCGTGACGGAATCATTGTATTTAAACAACTCTTAAGTCGAAATAGTGTAGTGAGATGGAACCACTTTGTTCAAAAGCTATAGTTGATGGGTGAAGCGTAAACCTATATCACTTAAAACCAGGCCTGAAAATCCACTTCAAACCCACTCTGTTTGGATCTCACTTCGATGGACATCTTACGAAAACGCTTTTGGATTATTTTCAAATAACATCATAAGACCACTACCATTTCAAGCATGCTCCCGCATTAAAATGCGCTATAAAAATTGATATCTCCTTGTCATGGATAACTTTTTAGAGCAGGAGTAGAACTTCTTACTCGTCTAATCGAGCATTTTTGTACTAAAGATTGCTAGTTAGCTGTACTTCAGTATTGAAGTTTATTCGCCACCACATGAAGTTTTTATTTTTTAAATTGCACCGTTTAATAATGTTCATCAAACACATCACAATTGTGTTCGACAAGCACGCCAGAGGGCATGTTATTCTCTAATTAGTATGGTGGTCGATTTATGCGCCTTAATATGTAGACATTTTGTATTGGATTCTTGTACAGTTGATGTCTATTATAAGCATAGGATACCATGCCTGTTGAAGGCAACCCCAAAACTTTAAATATATCGCTGATTGCCTCTGCCCGAGTCAATTTCCTATCCCACATGAAATACTTGTTCCGTGTGATTATAAAGTTGGGTGGGGCTAGTTAAGCCCTTGTTTGGTACACATCTATAATATATTAAATATCGTATGAAATGAGAATTATTTTCTGAACGATTTTAACTTTATTACAATTTAATTATTTTAATAGTACATTACTTTTCGTTTTTCAATATATATTTAATTGAATATTAATTATTAAACATGCACACAAATAAATAATTGAATTGTACGTGAACAATCAGATTGATTCAAGAACATGAAATTTAATTAATTTGAATAAATGAATATAGAAAAAGAATAATATATATACATTTAAACAAAGGAATTGTAAGTGAACCAACATGAAATTTAATTAATTTGAATTAATAAATATAGAAAAATAATAATTTATATACATTTAAACAAAGGGGGTGTACATGAACC